TCACCTGCACATAATCATCTCCTGCCATAAAGCTGGGCTGAAGTAACCACTCCAGGCTGGGCCATTTAACAAGCCACAGTCAGTTAAAAGACCAGTATTGTGCTCCAGTGTTGTCTATCTGATCTCTCCATGACCTGTCTGGACCTGGTTCTCCACCGCTCTTCTCCACACAGCATGCCCAATCTGCCACACCATTCACCTTCTCTGCACGCATTCCCTCAATCACGCTCCCTGGTAGGAAAACTGCTTAGGGGGTTATGTGAGATATGTTGATCCCAAAGTCAGAGTTTTCAATGTCACGAAGGTGGCTGTCTCTAAACTTAGCTAGATCTCCATGGCAACTGATGCTGTGGAGCTAATCTGGTCCAGAGCAGGTTATGTGGAGAGTTTCGGATTTAAATTGGCAGGAGGAAGTGTAGTTACAGTACTGTGTACATGGCGTTGCCATGGGAACCCGACATGTATTTAGTTGGTGATGCAGAAACCACATAAATATGTTTTTATGTTTGGCTCTGAATTGCTGTCCAGTCTGTTTCCAGTGCTGGTACTACAACTGATAACACACATATTAGAAAATGGATTGTGCTACTGGTATTGATTAAAGCGAATATTCAATCAGTAACATTATTTCACTTTCATTTGGCTTAAATTTAAAATGATTTTATACATTATGGGAAACTGTCAGACCTAAATGCACTTCAATACAATATAATGTTTAAATATCCATCCATCTATTATATATACTATACAACGCTTAATTCTCACGAGGGTCGCGGGGGAGCTGGAGCCTATCCCAGCTGACTCAGGGCGAAGGCAGGGGACACCCTGGACAGGTCACCAGTCTATCACAGGGCCACACTTAGAGACAGACAACCAAGCACACTCACATTCACACCGACAGACAATTTAGAATCACCAATTAACCTCAACATGTTTTTGGACTGTGGGAGGAAGCCGGAGAACCCGGAGAACCCACACTGCACGTGGAGAAACTCGGCGCAGAAAGATCCTGGGTGTCTTCACCGGGACGCGAACTGGGGATTGTCTTGCTGCTAGGCAACAGTGGTAACCACCGAGCCACCTTGCAGCGCATATATGAATATATACATACTTAATAGAAATGAAATGAAAAATACTTTATTTATCCCAGAAGGGAAATTCAATTATTAAATAGTATTACATATTAAATAGTGTTTATATATATATAATTTAATATCAAGCAGGAGCAGATAGAAGAGTATCTAAGGATGTTTTGTGTTTTTCCCATTAAGTAGTCTTTGTATAAAGGCTGACCACAGGCTTAACAATGTAACCTTGCTTGACACTGAACATATGCAGCCAATTCTTTATTATCTTGGTATGTCTGTGTGGTAGGGCTGCTTTAGTTTCACACTTCTTACCCTGAGTCTTGAGGCTTCGTGCTGACTGTCTGATCACTGGCCTCATACTGGGGATAAACTGCCTGGTGGTGCTCAGAAAACTATAAATGAATAAATTATTGAACACATAAATAACAAAATATGAATCATTCAGCCAATGAATCGATTCATCAGTTACTGTAAAGATGAAGCAGGGAGCAGCAATGAAGCAAAGTCTACCTACCTGACTGGAAGTCCCCAACAAACTCACACCTGGTGAATACAAAGAAAAGAGAATGACTACAGAATCCCCAGTTTACTCCACAAATGCTACAACCTTGACTTTGGTCCAATCCGCACATGTGCATGAAGCCTATAATTTGTGTCCACCTGACAGTGATGCTACAAGGGCGATAGTCCACATGCTCAGCAGTAGTGTGCATACACAGAATACATAGACTAAATCTACACAGCTGTACGCAAGTCCTCCAAGTGCTAACGGAAAAGTAATACAATAACAACAACTATTGCCAGTCTGGTCTGCTTTCCCACCTGTGTGACAACCTGCCCTGCCTATGACCTTGTTAAAAATAGGTGAGTGGAAAACAACGTTGGAGAGTCACCAGTGAAACATAAATCCACCTGCATATTGATGTGTCTGTCTTCATTTCATACATGCCACAAACTAAATTAAAACCAATATTCTCTATTATCTCTAGTATGTAAACATGTCCTAACCTTTCCCTGGCATTAGTCCATCAACACTGTATGCAGAGTCCAGATTAAGAAGCACAGGTCCTGGCTCACAGGAATTAACCAGCACTGTCTGTCTACCGCCACTGACATTACACTCCACCTACACAAATAAAGA